TGACGGGCGGAAAAAATCATGTCCTTGGTCCCACGATGACGGCGGAAGACGCGCTGGCTTTTCCGCAGGAGACCTTGTTCCAGATGGTTGTTCTGGCGGTTGAGAAGGATGCGAGCGAAGATCTTTTCGGTGGTGTTCAGTAAGGAGATGCCCCGATGGTTGGCGCACAGCTGGCGGTTACCTTTCAGCTTATAAAGATGCACAATTGTGGCGTCCTTGAAATCCTGTGGGACTTCTCCTTGACGCCACATCTCCTGAAAGAACGCTGTCAGATGATCCATGAGTTGGGAGCCACCGTGCTTGTAGATCTCAGCAGGGATCGCGTCCGATCCAAGCGCATTCCCTCTGGAGAGCTGCTGCACGGCCGTGATGGTTTCTTGGAGAGAGAGCGGGAGGTCGAAGTTGGCGTTGGTCTCCACTTGAGGCAGACGGGCCATGGCGGCGTCGGAGATGGTGGAGGCACGGCTGAGGACGCTTCTAAAATGCTCGACTTATCGCTGAAGAATTTGTGTCTTCTAAGTGAGTAGGTCACTGCCGTCGGCGCTGAGAAGAGATGCAGTTACTTTGGTTGGCGGACCGTAGACAGCCTTTGTCGCAAAGAAGAAATTCTTCCATTCGTTGCCATTCGCGTATCCTTGGATCTCATCGACCTTGCGAGCCGTCCAAGCGTAGTGCATCTCCCGCAGCCGCAGTTGAACAAGGCGACAACTACGGTTGAAGGCTGTTTTATTGTCGTCGATGGGGCGGTCGACGTAGGCTTTGTGCAGGCAGTTCTCGGCAAGCATGTTGCTAATGGCGGCGTCGTTGTCATTGAACCATTCCGGGTGTTGGCGTCGTGCATGATCGAGTACAGTCAGGGCTGTCGGCTGAACTGTGTCCCGTAGTTGACACGGTCGGTTCTTCACGGAGGCCTTCTCGTCAGCGATGGCGGCGACTGGGAGTTTGGCTAGCCGTTGAGCTAGCCGATTGTTGAAATGAATATCGTGATCAGGCAAAGACAACAGAGCAATATTCAGCTTACGTGGAGGTCGTTTACCTTGAAGTTTCCTGCGAGGCTGTAGACAAGTCCGCATCTTGGAGGTGACGAGACGTTAGTCGGTCCACCCGTCAGTACCCAGGATCGCCCTTCTCACTAACACGTCCCGCTGATCTCGCCTCAGGACGAGGACGTAATGCGACAGCTGCCAGTGTCACGACGAGGGTGCATCCAGATGGCCTTCTCTGACATCGGGAGGCGGAAGTAGGTGTTGGTCAGTGTGAGCCGGTGTTCGTAGCAGGAGCAGGCCATTTTCATTGAAGCCGTTGAGACCATGGGGACCCAGCACTCCTCTCCAGGCAGCATGGTCTGTGCCGACGGGGGTGTGAAAGTCACCAAGGACAATCAACTTGTCCGCCTTCGACACAGTCGCCAGAAGGGTGTCCAGGCCCTCGTACAGTTTGTCGCTTGCAGCGTCATAACTGCCCATCGGGGGCGGGGGACATAGACGCTGACGATGGTGGCAAATTTGCCTCCCTAAGATAGGCAGTCGAAGGCTCATCAGGCGATCGTTGATACCCTGCGGCAAACAGGGCAGTCGTCCCATGATGTCATCCAGGATGGCAAAGGTGACATCCAAGTCCCGTCGTTCCAGAAGATGTAGCTGGCACCCACCTCCTCCAGTTGGCCTTGTTCAGAGAATCGGGTCTCACTGAGTGCAGCGATGTCCACCATGTGGCGCGCCAGTTCCTGAGCCACTAGCACTGTCCTCCGTTTCGGCCGGTTGCTCCTCGGATTGTGTAAAAAAGAACGAACATTCCAGGCTGCCACAGTGAGTGGACTCATAACAGCAGCCTGTGCAGTGGAGCGGCGGGGAGGGAGAGGGAAGAGAGAGTGTTGATTCTTGTTCGGTTGTTTCGACCGTGAGTTTTGCGTCTGAGACCATGATCAGCCTGCAGACGGCTTGGGTCTCCAGCATTTGTTTAGGGCACCTTTTCCAGCCCCTTCCCCTTGGCAGGGGTGAGGAGTGCTCTCCCTAAAGAGGGTTGCTCAGTTGTCCCAGTCGGCTGCCGAACTTCACTATGGGCCACAACTTTTGTTTCGTGGGAGAACGACCCGAGTTAGCCTAAGCCTGCCTACGACACCGCCGTATGACATGAAGGGGGGATGGGGGAAGGGTAGAGAGACGGGAAGCAAGGCATTCTCGTCCCTCTCTAAGCTAACTGGTTGCTGAAATATAAGCGGTGCGCAAACAGATTCAAAAGAGCGGCAGTTAACGTACAGCGAAGGCAAACAGAAACAAGCAGACGAAGGGCAGGGAAGCAAGAACAAGTAAAAGCAAAGGCAGACAGAGGAAATTCATCGGAACGGCATTTTGCTTACAACACGCACAGACAAAAACACACAGTCGGAAAGTAAGCAAGCAAGAATAAGCAAAGCAAAGACGGCAGAGCAATGTTCGTTTACCTGGGGGCTCACTTACCTTGTGGCCTGCGATGTTGCAGATAGTCTCGTCTCGGAGATACGGGGGCGGAGATCCATCCGGCCAGCGGTGCCGAGTTACTGTATGCGGAGATGAACACACGGATACGCTCACCTGGTTTAGCCCGCCAGTCGAGGCGGTTACCCGCGTGTGGCCGGTAGGCAGAGCCTGGCTTCGGGGAGCCACATGTAGGAGTTGGGTGCCAATTAATGGACGCTAGGCGTAGTCAACACCTGCAAGCAAGTGAGAGACCTACTATGACCCTCACGTGCACCCACAAATGGGCGTCCCTACACCCCTAGTGATAGAGGTCCTCCTGGATAATCATAACATTGGAAACATCTTTTCGCTCGACGTATGTATACCCCTTATGTGGGGTTTAGGAAAGGGTCTAGGTTTTTCTTTGTAAGGAGGAGTAATGTTTGTCCCCTAATGCCGTCCCTGTTCTCTGTGAAGTAGACAATCGCCACGTAAACTTCAGGGTTGAAGTTAGCCTACTTACATGTTTTTGGTAAACTGGGACCATGGCCGGTCTAGCTGCCCTCGATGATGTTATGAATTATGCCTATCCATACTAATTATTTTAGTCGCATTCTTCACCGATTTATACTGTACACAAAAATTGCTTGCTGATTTCGCACTTTGCGATTTTAGACGAGGTATCGTGGAATGCCTCATCCGGAAATTAACTTTGTCATGGTAATCTTAGAATAAAATCCGACCTCCTTTACTCATTACATTTTTCACCGCATTATGCGTGGTTAAATGCGTGAACTACGAGCATCTGTGAGTTCGATCCATTGCTCACCCATGGTGTTTCTATTACCTAGCGATCACGCCCAGAAAGCTGCGTTTATGCCACACCATAGTCAAATGATCAAACCAGTTTCTAAGTGGTCTGTGCTTGTCAGGCCAGTTCCTCACGTAATCAGCAGACAACGATTGGGGTTTTTCATGACTTTAACGTTTTTGGGCAG